TTCTCTCACTGATCGACCGGATGAAACCGGGGAATGACCGATCGACCGATGGCATTCCTTTCTGCTTCGAAGGCAGAACATGGATGAAGACGCGTAATTTGTTATCGGCACTGTAAAATGCATTCCACCCAGCGAAGAGTAGTAGCTGGTGAAGATCGTTGCGTAAGATCGCTGCGAATACCGAAACGCGCTAGAATTGTTTTTTCTTACTCCAACCGTGTTACCCTCGGAATATTCATATTATTTTATCTAGCTTATCGATCGTTCACGCAAACCTCTGTCTAACTAGCCGTTCGTATGCATTTTTTAAATTGAATGAAAATTAATCAACATCCTGTTCCTGTTGTCAAGCGTACGTCCTGTTTATTATACAAATTAGTTACAAACGTGTCATAATCGTTTCGCCTGGCGTATCTGACACGTTCACTGGGTACAAGCGAGAACGGATCCCGAGTCCTGCCAACCGAATCCATTAATTAAATTGAACTTTCGATATATGGAATTTATACGAAATTATTCAAACAGATTGCTTCCTTTTACCATAACTCATTCGATAGCTCCCATAGCCATCGAGTTAAACGTAGATTCGTTCAATTTGTCAACGGAAGGTCATCGCGCGGACTGACAGTTAGGCGGTACATACAAACAGACGACGGAAGAAAAAAAAAAAAAATGAAATCCCTGTCCCATAAGCGGACCACCAAGAACGACGCGACCCGGAAGGGTGGAGACTCGTTCGCTGTCGTGACAGTCACAATCAGTTTTCGACGTACTCCCTGACTTTGTCACTACGGGAGACGGACTCCCGTGGTCGGAAGGTGAATGGCGCATACGAAACGAAGAAATCAAGCAATCTGATTCGCCACGGGGAAAAAAGATCATTTCGCTGGCCGGTAGTTGATCGAAGCGTTCAAGACGAAAAGATTCTAGCACGGGCAACGTTACGGATATGATGCCGGTGGTAAGCTCTCGATGCCACCTAAAGATAAATCGAATAAACGGGAAACACGTGGTATCGCGTAACCTTATTCAGAACAAGGCGTTTCGAACGAACAATAGCCACCTTTTCCTCTTTTTTTTCTCTCTCTCTCTCTCTCTCTCTTTTCTTTCTTCGTTACTTCTCCATCAAGCGTATAGTTGCTACTCGCATAGAGACGTAAAGAAGAGAAATCCCGTGGAAGCGAGAGCGACCGGTACGCAAACAAATTTAACGCTCTTGTATTACGGCAGCAATTTAAATGATAATACGCGGTGTGTATGCTTGCAAGATTAACTCGTAATAGGCTGGAATAAATGTCGACGGACCTGTTAGGCGCATCTAGCAGTGCTACACGGGGAACAGTAGGTGTTAACTACTCCTGTAGACAAGCTTGTTTATATTGGTACGGCACGTACACCTCGCGTAAATTTGTCTCCCTTGCCCGATGGCGCCAAGGAAATTGGGCCGCGCATCATCGAACCCGATCATCTCGACACTCTTGTTCGTGTAACGGTAATAAATTATTACGCACCGGTGAACGGTACCGCCGCAACTTGTAATTATCAGAGTGGTTATTAAACCCTATCGCTATTCAATTATCTCACCCAACTGTCACGATACGTTTGTTCACGATTGATAGATTATTTCAGGAACAAGCTGTTCGAAAAGGTTAATCGTGAAATTTTCTGATTTCGAAGAAATTCTTAGACAAGATCATCGAACTAGGATAAAAAAAGGATATCGCTTTTGCGATAGGTAGGAAGCAAAGGTCGAACAATCTTGGAAGTACGAGGCAAGTTTGCCTCTGGGGGTGTCTTGTCGGTGTTGTCACGGATAGGATCATGCAAGCTGTGCCCCTCATGCCTCTCGCCTCGTCGTTACGACGGTGAACCTCTTTGCATATACATTCTGTAAGATTACTTTGTGCGGTTTACACCCTCGAGCCACCCTGGCGTGCTCGTCCTTCAGCGCGCCTCAAGCCCTCGACGAGGTTGCTCCTTTTGCCAGCAGGCAAACTACCCTGGCAAGTTTCACCAAGGGTCCCTAATGTATGCGCAACTGTACGAGAGAAATTCCAAGTTCGGCATGCTCGTATTAGCTGCCTTTACGATGAGTATCTTCCAGCCGTTTCTCTCTCGTTTAACCGTAGCGAACAAAGGAGCAACTACCGGGAAGACTCGTTGCCAGAAGAGGTGAACACGCGTGATCCTAATTAGAACGCGTCCTCGAGGTGTCGAAGTAAAAGCGGGTTTCTTGTCGGGCGTATCGCGAGACGCCCTCGACGACTGGCGTCGTTATAAGCTGAACGAAAGAAAGTTTCTACTCGACGAGCTGGCGAGACTTCGAAACGACGCGACGGGACTGTAGCGCCAGTTTAAAAAATAACTTTGGAACAATGCCGTTGAACGATGCCGGAATCTACGCCCGTTACATCGGAACACCGTTTCCACGGAAAACGGAGAAATATACATACGATTAGGAAAATTCTCACGGAGATACAACTGTTAATAGTATTCTTTACCACCCGCACTTTCGGCGTATTTACATAAAAACGAGCAACGGGTCCGTGGCCCCGAAGCGCGATGACTACGAATAACCGCATTAACTTCACAGCATCGTTTTAATATTTTCTTTCTATCGTGAACCGAACGAGATGCCTTGAAATCTACACCGGCCGAAAAATCTTTCTATCAATCACACTCACGTGATAAAAATAATTTTATCAATTATTTCTGCGTCTAATCTCTAATCACCCAAGAGTCATTTTCGAGTCGTACCGATCGTCGATCACGATTTCCCATGTTTAGCCAATCATCGGCGTCACGATGATATAGGCATTCATCGACATGTGAACCGTGATGCATTCAATGACCCATAACGAGGCTTTCGAAGAAAGGCACGAGGGAGAATTACGTGAAACGTGTTGATGCGACGACGCGGCACGCGGCACGCGACACAACGCTAGACGAACGGGTCATTATGGATGCGAAGGGCGGAATACCGTGGCCACGGTGCATGATAATTACTGTAAAGAAAGCTCCGACCAGACGGAGAAGGGCCTACCTCCGAGCACCCAAGAGATTACAGGATGTCCGGAGGCGAGAGGAGGATTCCCTCGGCATGTCCCGAAACCCTATCCACGCTAACGACTAATAAAAATTAACAACCGCGTCCCTCTTGAATTCGTACATGAAAGACGGACCGCCACAAATGAACGATCACGGTTGAATAATAAATAATTATTCTCAGGCCCACCTGTGAACTTCTTCGCGATGAAGAATTGCCTAAACGAATATGTCGGAAACGACTCAATCTTTCGACGTGAAAGAGAAAATTTTTATCACTCTTTCTGATTATTAATTAACCAGCGAATGGTTTCACACACGAGGTACAACGGAACCATCAAACAGTTGCTACCCAGGGGATTAAACTTTATGCTGAAAATGTAGGTCATCCGAACAATACTGCATTGTTCCTTACGCTACCCGTATCAAAATTTATTCTCGTTAAAACAGAGTATGCAAATGTTTGAGAACCAAGTTCAGCAAACATGAAATTTACGTTTTTTTCCCCTGAATAAACGTTTCGAATCGAAGCAGCTCTTGCTAGTCGTACACCACGAGTTCGACTCGAGCGAGCACGAGAAGACGTTCCCTTCCTTCCGATTCTCGCCAAGGGTTCCACGTGGCCGGTCCTTTTAATCGTTCGGCACGATAAACATATCGAAATCATGATGGAGAATCGGTCCGCGTAAAGGACGAGCCGGTGTACTCGTAGCAAGTTTCGTCGGCGGAAAAGAACCTTACCTCTCTGCACGTTTGCCTCCTCCACTTTTAATTTTCAGGCGCGGCTAATTATGATTTACGGCAACATCGACGCAACATCCTGATCGGTACGCGAGATACCGCCCGCAGGATATTCAAATGCGATGAATATTGCTCGCCGCGATAAACGGCGCACGAACAACGACAGACAAGAAAAAGAGAGGGAAACAGAGAGAGAGAGAGAGAAAAAGAGCAAGAGAAGAAAGATGCAAAGGAGTTGACTGGCGGGGAGGCGCGCGTGTAAAGGATACGAGAAAAGGATTCTTAGTAGTCTATTCGGTATGCAAGATGGGCAGTCAGACCTGTACACACCGAGTGTCCCTTCCTCCCTCGAAGGATGTACATATATCCTCGCGTGTGGATTATTTCCACGCGAATCGTTCGCTTATCTTCGATAGCTCAACCGTGCCTAGCGATCGACACTCGAAGCTTTTGCTTGAAAATTTTTCAACAATTCAAGCGCATACGGATCACTTGGAATGTTATTTAAACAGCCCATCGATAGCCAGGATCGTCAGACCTCCGTAGATGAGTAGTTATGATTTGAAACGTTAAAAAATGGGAAAAAACGCCTCGCTTTGTGTTATTAGCCGATGCTATCTCGAGGAAATAAAAGATACTTATTTATAGGCTAGGGAGCTGTTTTATGCGTGTTCTCACATGAAGTACATCCGCGTGAAGATCGTAATCTTTCTGTTAGAGCCAAGTAATTTGTCGATAACTTATACCGGGACGAAGAGAATAAACGTTAAACGCGCGATTATATTTAATAACTGTACGTTTTGCGCGCGATTAATAACTATTACCAAGTGTAAACGGGATTCCGCTGGGAATAACGTTAATAAATGGATCGATATCCATTTCATTCGTGCAATTAAAACGCTGCATATTCTTTTTCATCGAGCACACGCTAACTTTCCCCACGCGTGTTTTGCAATCATCCGATTCCGTTATATCTGAACGGGCCAACGCGATTACCGATCGCGATTAGACGATCGACCGGCGCACCTTGGAATGTAAACGAATGCCCGAGTAATTTGTTAGTCAATGAGTTGAACAGACACGAGGTATAATTCAAAGGGCCATACGGCGAAATAATTATTCGGTGAGAAAACTGTGTTCCGAGTGAAAGAGGGCGAATCGTTTAGTGCGAGGTGAAAAGGTGAAGTATTAGAAGAAGGTTAATCGAATATTACCTTGTCTGATCGCTTTTTAGTGGGAGTGATAGCGCCGTTAGGTCTGCCTTGAAGATCGGTTTCGCTAGCCATCCGGTTGAAACGTTGCATCCGTTCGCGGAAACTTAATTGCTCGGTTGAGCCCGGATTCACCACGACAGCCTCATCTTCCTGTACGGTTTTTAATATTTCCAATTGCCAATTCTCACAGAACAATTACACACACACAATGACTACGCCTCTAACTACTTATTAAACATGGATGAAAAGAATGCCAGACGTGTGGACACATTGGACGAATAATACAACTAAATGAGAGTGCTTATCTATGGCGATACTTTCATGCTTCTAATCAAAGCGAGATAGCACTACAGTGATGTGTAAGCGTCAGAAGTGTGCGGGTAGCCGAAATTAAGAACACAAATTTTCACGATTCAGGCCCATTTCCACACGAGCCTTCATTTGGAGAACCCTCAAACTCTTATTTAGCATGCTAAGTGATATTAAACGATCAACTAATCGCAAAAATCCAATCGTTTGTGATAGAAGGATATAAGCTTTCAATATGGCATGAAGAACACACTACGTTCACTACTGTACTGATTAAGTGACATTCACTGTAATCGTGAATACCTTTCTACGCACCCAAAACCACGTACATAACAACAATAGTGCACAATAATGCCCGAATTATCTCTGGTCGCAGTAATTATGCGATAAAGCGGAAACACGTTGTGCCATTTTATCGTGTGCACAACGACAACCGATAAAGTATAGACAAATTCTGAGGATTGTTCAACAAATAAAGAAACGAAATGAAAAGAAAATTCTTATTGAATGATCCTCGTACTACATAGCGTGCGTATACGAGAAAGAAACATGAAATTTTATCAGGTATTTTTTTTTCTAATTAATATCACCATGATAATTGATTTAGTTTTAATTAATGACAGATCGCCATGTAATGATGACAAGATTTCACGTAGCTTTTTGCTTTTCAATGAATTCAGTAAAAGAAAAACTCACCTTGATAACCGCCTCTGATCCTCCCTTATTCCTGTCCACGTTTTCCTTATTCTCTATCTTGATTTTATCTTGACTTTTACGCCGCGGTGGTACCGGAGGAGATGACGTTGATAATCCAGTCTCCGTACGGTCAACGTCATTCTTTTCCCCATTAATTGCTGCCTCTTCGAGTACGAAATTCGAACACGATTCCTCGGGTTGACTGCTCCCATTGTTCGACGATGGACTTTGGGGTGCAGGAGGTGGTGGACGGTACGGGGGTGGAAGCCGTAGAGGCGAAACAGGGGTGGAAATGTCAGGAGTGGCAATAGGTGATTCGCTTTGCTCCGGAGACGAAAGGTCCAAAGAATTTTGACGGTACTTTTTCTTTAGAACCAAATATTTTTCTCCCTGCACGAAGAATTTTTTTGTTTTAATTTAAACACTCGTAAATTAAGAATTTTTCAAATTCATTAATAATTGATTTTATTTTTAAAAGTATGAATTAATGTTAGGTTAGATCAAGAATAACCTCCCGTGGCGCCACTGTCAGGTGTCAATTACCGGTAACTCTAAAACTTTACCAAACGCGTATATGCTATCTAACACTAGATAAGACAAACAGAAGCGAAAAGTAAAAATAAACAATGAGAAACGTTAACTAGATAAGGTTATCGTTTGTAATGTAGCGCGCGAATGATTGAAAAAACTGGCAACGTCGCACGAACGCGCAACAAGTCGCTCCTGTCAAGGTAGGAAGGAAATTGCTACTCGATGACGTACCTCTTCGTTCTTTATAGTAGCCAGGGTGTTTACGTACTCCTTGAACCGATTCCGTGCCTCGACTGTAACGAAAATAATCGCACTGTTCACTGGATATCACGATGCACACTGAATGCCGGGTGTGACGAGTATTAGAACTCCAGTCCCGTGTTTACACATCGAGAATACCGTGTAACATCGGGGTCACACCTTGGCGAAACAAGACAGCCACACGACTGTATCTGTCGATGAATTTACAACGTACCTCGTGTCTCGGGATCCGTTAAGAATTTCTTGAAGTGCTTCACCACGTCGTGATTGCGTGCAGTACCACCGTTTTCCAATAAATAATTGCGAATCTCTTCGATAGACAGCTCGCTGGGCGTCGCCATCTTGTCACTGCTGACTGCCGCACTAGCGCTGCGCGCGGCTATCCACCGCTCTGCCGGTAAATACGAATTCTGTTGGAAAATAATATTTGTATATACGATCGCGTGTGACTTCCCTAAGGTAAAAAGAAGTGTAAGGGTAAACGCGTCCCATCACATCCCTTATTTGTTCATCTTTTAACAAAAAACCTAAATAATTATTTGTTAAATTATTGCTTTTGGTACGTATGTTTGTTTGAAAAATGCATGTCTGTTACATATTAATAAAGACGCGACGGTATTACAAAGATCCTTTCATCGTGTCATACATCATCAGAACAAGTGAAGGATGACTAATTGCTGCTTCAAAATGCAAATAAAAATTACGTATGCGTGAAAATGCATACACGAATGCAACGTGTAATTTCATTCCTTAATAATGTACTAACGAACTGTAATCATATTGCGTTGCCAAGAAAAAAAAAATTGTTAACATCATTAGTAATGAGTGCAATCGTTACTCCTCATGCATAACGCATAATACCCGTCAATTTAATTGCATTATAATTGTGCAGGACGTGGCGGAATATGTAACGCACGATCCAGCTGTTAACTTGAATCTCACAATGCGCGTAAAAAGCAGCGACCAAGCGAAGAGCGATTTTTCATTTCGCGTTGAACGGCTGTGTATTAACCGCGCGACGATTCAGTTGCATACAATTTCATTCTCCCAGGCAAATATTCGTAAAACCTTTTAGTAATCCGACATGTTATACTCCATCGGGGCAAACATCCGGACGACAAATTCGACGCGCAAACTGATGCGAATAAGGTTTAAGTGCTCTGATTTAACAGTCTGACGGTCGCATATTTTATGCAATCAACGAACCTGATTTTAGGTTATTAACCTTTTAAGAATGAAGCGGTTTGATATGAATAATTGCCAATCCATATGGTCGATAGTTTAGGATACCGTTTAAAACTGCATCCTGATTCAAGATAAGTTAATGAGACTACATGAAATAGTATCGCGTTGAAGAAGATGAAAGAGGATGATATTATCTCGTAGCAAGTTACTTATAGTCTGTTTAAATAATTAACCATTTAACTAGTGCTGATTTAATCGTGATACCTCGATACAGCGTATGTACATGCGAGCCAAAAATGCATTAGCTATTTGCATAATACGTGCAATCATGAACAAGATTATCCACGATAATCGCACGGCTATAATAAGAACAGTTCTTCACAACATTGTTCCGTAATGAAGAAAATGGTCTTACTAATCACCTACGGTGTGTAAAAATATATGCACAAGACGAAGGGAGAAGGTGAAGAAGGGACGAGCGTACATGCGTGCAGCACGCACGCATATACAGAGACAGGAAGCATTGTTGGTGTCTTTATAATTAAACCCTTTTTATCGATGATATTTTAATGAATCGATGAGTAATGATTGAGTTCGACCCGCTCCAAAATTTCAACGGTCAGCACCTTTAACTCGCCAATATTTATAAACGTTATTAATGATTCAATTCGTCGAGACAATTTAAACGAAACTTCCAAACACAATGCGATTAATAATCTCCTGTTAAATATAAGAAGTAACATAACGAAATGCGAGGCCATCAAAGTGTTAAGGGTGTTTTGTAACATCAGTCACGTGGATGGTTACGATCAAAGATCGGGTCGATTAAAATAATTACAACCGTGAAGATACTTGTGTCTCTGAAAGAAAACAAGAAACGAAGAAGAAAAAAAGGGATTTGTTCAAGGTAAATATGAAGCACCTCCCGCGGATCAAGATGATAATCTTTCAAGTACGGTAGCCGCCACGCAGCGTGTTCTTTGATACAATTCTAAGGCCGGTTGGATTGATGCACGAGATTGGCCATGGTATTTCCGCGAACAAAATGTGCACCAAGAGGTCGTCCGGGGGCGAGGTGGTTGTAGCAAGAAGAACGAGCGGCCAGGAACGAGGACAAAGGAATCGCGTCGACGCCCCGTGGCCCCGTAGGTGCATCCACGATATCATCTACCCATGTTCCCCTTTGCGTTATGCTTATGCTCGTGCATACGTAAAAGATGCGCGAGCCTGCAGCCTCTGCAGCCGCTTTATCCGGCCCGGCCGGTGCAAACTGCAAAAGAGTTTGTGTGATCTACCGCCCGGTTTATATGTCGCCGCTGGGATTCCGAGGAGAAACCGCAAGTCTCTCTTTTCCTCCTCCTCTCACGTGGCCGTTTGTTCTCGCGCCATTTTAATTAATTCTTGGACAATGCTACAGAGGAATGCTTTTTTATTGTACACGCGCGTGTATCCGACCGTGTACAGGAATTCATTATACAATGTATGCTTTCCTACAACTTCTTTCCTTTTATTTTTCTACAACTCGAAACGTTATCATCAAAGATTGAGAATTTTCCTATTTTTCATCTGCAACTCTGCGCCGGTGTATGATATTCTCTGATTACTTTCCGATTAGTTGTCAATTATTTTTAAGTAATTTCACTTCATCATTACCGATCGTTCTCTACTGTCACGATGAGTTTCATTTCTATGTTGCGAATTGCAACTAAATTGTTATCAAATCATTTCCGTAATTGATACGTATCGATACAGAGTAGAGTCGCGCATGTCTCGATAAGTCTCGAATCATTCACGGAGCAAAGTATCAATTTCAAAACGTAAGCGTATCGTCGGTATATGAAACCAGGTCTCAGTTCCACCGCAATTCGCCCATAATTGGAGCGTGTGTACTCGGCTCGTATTGTCCCGCGATATATATAAAACATCCCGTATAAAGAGCGTACTTTGGTAGGTTTCTTGCGCGGTTTTTAGTCCCCGTATCTTTGGTGGTCTCGTTAGAAGGACAGTGGGAGGTCCTCGGGGAAAAAGCAGCAATAATACGTAACAAACGCGGCCGCGTTTCTCTAGTCGAACTCGTAATTTCAGTCCCTAAAAACCGTCTCCTCGGAAGAACCAAAAAGAAGACGAAATCCTGCCTCTTCGAACGTAATGTGCATCGAGCACAATCGATGCAGTCATTATAGTATTATATGTACGCGACATTAATCAGCTTCTGAATCGTTTCGAAACAGTTATCCGAGTTAATGTTATACGGGTAGCAAGTCCTTATTCCGTCTTACGGAGGAATAAATATCGCTCGAAGCACGAGAGATACGCGTCGCATGCTAAAACCAACTCTATACAGGGTGTTAAGAAAAAAAGGATGGATCTAAGATTCTAGCTTCAAAATCATTTAGTTTTATTTTTAATTTTTTCATTCTCTGATACAGTCTTATACAGCCTGTATAATACTGTACACGGAGGCTTCCTTCAAATGGCCACACGGGTACACGAACACAGGGCAATGAACATAAAGCGTTTCGTTGAACAGAGTTATGGCCTCTAATGAGTCGAGGGGTTAAAAGCGCGAGTCCTGATCCTCGCGGCAAAAGAAGATAGCTAAAACCCTATCGGACCGTTCAATCTATCCTGACTACCGTTTACCACGGCATCGTTTAAACTGGCCACAGGTGCTCGCCCGTATGCACGCTCGTTTCATGTACCAAAAAGAAAAGAAAAGGAAAAAAGAAAGAATAAGGATTCTGGTATGAGTTGGCCGTATGTTTGGCTTTCTCATAGTAGTTTAACCATCGGATTTTTTAACACTCGATGATCGGCGGTACGAGTTCGCCGGCGGAAAGGCGGTTCAAACTTCAAAGATTCGCGATCGAGGGCTAAGGTCTATACAGGCATTACATATTATCATGGCTGGTATCCAACCGAACCGCGCGTGTCCCCTTTCGTTCACGTCGTAAAGCGGCTTTCCGTGCATACAAAGTCGAGGGCTCGACCAACACTCTGTACGGGGTCGCGTTGTCGTTGGTGGCTAGAAGCCCATGAAAAGAGCAGAGTATACGTTGCTCCGGCTAATAGCTCAACCTTTCCTCCCCCTCCATTTTTTTATTTCTGATACAGGTACTATGAAAATTGAGCGTTATTTGCTTAGACATTTTTCTCGAGACTTCGATGAGTTTATAGTTCCAATGGAATTCGGAGTGGCTCGAATATTCGTTACTAAAATAGCGAGTTTTGTATTTCATATTTCAGTTTGCAACGTTTAAAAATTGGGATACCGAGAGGACAGTAACAGGAAAAGTGCGTTTATCGTCGAGCCGTCGTTTCACGAGAATGTCGCAGCCCGATGCGATCAATCTTTGACGTCGATTCGGCAGCCGGTGCTATTTCAGAGTGTGTCCGCGCGATAATAACGACTGCCAAGTGGCAACTATTAGTAGCGTTTTGTGCCAGGTATGCCAGTCGACGTGGACGAATTAAAACGCGAGCGAGTATTGGGAAAAATAAAAAAAAAAACGGTCCGGTCGAGCGAACATTTAGGTAAAACGGTGGAGGAGGGAGGTCGCGTACGAAAGTATTATCCACGATTCGTGTCGCTGTCAGTAACAATGCATTAACGCATTCATATCGCATTCCAACCCTACGTTCGATTGCCTGTTGACTAGAGTTCTCGCGTTTACTCTCGTCCCTCTTGTACCCACCTCGATACACATGGTTGTGCAAGTGGCATCAACGTAGTACGGCTTGCCAACACGAGAAAAGTATCCGAAACGATCAAACCGTACACAACGAACCATAATATTTACGCTTACAATTATATGAATATGTAGTTTTCATCGTGTATGTACGTAAGTATGTACATACATTGAGACATTGAAGCCACGGCATTAAATTCAATGTCATGACAACGTGACTTCAAGATGCATGACATTTGGTGTCGCGTTAGTAATTTTCACGATTAACCATGATGTGAAAACGTACCTTTTTATTCGCCTCTCCAACGGCAAAAAGTGTGCCAGTAAGTATAGGGGCCTGTTGACGTACCCCGCTAGATGCCATTACGCCCGAGGTGTGACACGCGTTTCCTCGAGCCTCGTGTGCATTTATCGCGTGTCATTCTTCTCAACTATCTTACAATTTGTCACGGCACAACGAACGTCTCGAGAACTCGTGGAAAAAGTTGCAGGCAAGTCGTTGGGCTGCGACAGCGTGTAATAACGCGCCAAGCCAGACCTGTAATTTACCCAATAAAATACCGGTCATGTTTCACGGTTACCGCGCAATATCTTTACATAGTACTCGTAAACATTGTATAACAACGAAAATAAATAGTATCAACATCGAACTCACCTGTTCAATCGATGTCACAAAGTCGTGTCACGAGAAGATGCCAGTCACCGATGTCACTTTCAAACTCTAAAACGCGTCTGCAGTCTGAAGTTGGAAGAAATTAAAATTCACATGTACATAGCGACGCCTTCATCGGTATCCTATCGAGATCTAACTTCACGCATATGCGCGCGCGATAAATTACCGCGCGTGCTGCGCGTCGCCACTTGCAGTGCGTTAGAGAGAAATTCACACGGTTTGCTGTTACATAGTTGAATCGAGTGGTGATAGTGATAGTGTAGAAAGCAATCATTTCTCGAAATCAAAGGTGTCAAGGATAAATATAGAAGAATCCTTACTCAAGAATCTTCATGCGTAGACCAGAACGTGTAAGAAATGATCCTGTTGACACACGTGACCGAGGATGATGAAAGAAGGTGGCCGATGCAAATGGCACGTACTCGTGACAGTTTCGTGCATGGAAGAAGGAACATGGTCGTCGAAGAAAGAGGAACAGTCGAGCACACGAGCACGGGTACCCTTTGTAAGTTCGCGCACGAGGTTCGCGTCGTTCCAGAGAGGACCACCACACCGCCCACGTCGTCGTCGATTATCGGGAGGTATACGTGAAAGGTTAGGGAAGTCCGATCGTAGATAACGATCGTTTATCGGCGCCAAAGCTCTATCGTTTCTTCGTTCTCTTGTCGACAGATAGGTTCAAGGAAATGGAGAATTGCGGTAATTGCGATAACTAAACGCGTATACCTTTGTATCGAACAGAGATCGAACACGGATGGCTGTTAATCGAGGTTAGAGATTTGCGATGCAAATCGATATATCGAACGCTGGCGGCCATGTTGGTTATTGAATAGGAAGACGCGGTTAAGTAAGTGAGTACAAATTTGCAATATACTCTTCATTAAAATATAGTAGTTACATTATTATATATATATTTTTTAAATATGTCATGCCAGGAGTATTTTGTTCGCAAAGAGTTAAGATGTAATCGCAGAATTAGGCGCCAAATGAACAAACCTCCTGACGACTTTATGGACGCGAGTCCAGCTCGTTCGCAACAAAGCTTCGCCTTTCCAAAAGCATGCAACGAGAGCCGAGGCGCAAACGAGCGACGGAAAAACAGCAGGTACGATGGAATACAAGTGAAATCGCAATAATTACCGGATCACAGATCCTGCAATACGGTAGTCGGTAGGCGGTATGGCCTACCAACAGGCGCATACAGGTATACGCAAGCTCTTTGTCGGACGGAGGTGGAGTACGGGTTATATTGGCGCCACCTCCTGCACGGTTAAGCGAGCGACTAGGGCAGACTTACGCCTTACGCTTCTCTCTCTCTGTACCCCACCCTTTCTGTCTCTCTCTTTCTCTCCCTTTCTCTGAGCAACCTCTTTGTCTCTTCCCGGTTCTCCCCTTCGGGCACCTCTCGCTTCCACGTTCTGCGTTGCTCCGTTCCGCTGGTCTCTCCTCTCTCGCTCATTCTCTCTCTCTCTCTTTCTCTCTCCCGTTCTCCCCTCTGCCCTCTCGTCCCTCTCCGCTGATGCTGCAACTCCGGCTCGGCTAACCCAACCTAACCCGCGGGCGAACTTCATTCCACGCCGACTGACCACCACCGACGGCCGTCGTCGTCCTCGACGCCGTCGTCGTCGTCATAGAACGCGGGTCACGCGACACGCCGTGTCCGACGGTTAACCTGTGTTTGTGCGTCTCCGGGTGTTGTTTTTTTCCGCGCCTCTTCGTGTACTAGCTCGATTTCTCGAGTGACAGGGATCCGTACCCTTTGACAACCCAAACAAAGTGACTAAGTGCATCGAGACAGTTTTTGTTTCACTGTTTCTTTTTCTTTTTCAATCCAAATAGAGTACGCCTCGATACGCATTGAAATCGAAGAACGAGGCAACCAGATTGCGAGAAGCAGACTCATTCCGATCGACGACGTCCCGCCAAGAGGATTCGGTGTCCCGTTTATCCTGAAGACGTTCCACGAGGAAGAAGAGGAGGGGACGATCATGGACATATCGGAAGATTGCTGGGAGCACGTGGGACTGCTCCAAGAGGTCTCCGGCACGGAACCACCCCCGCCACAACTCGCTCCTGACTTCCTAATTCAGCAACAGGAGGTGAGTAAGCGAATTTCTTTTTCTTTCCCTTTTACGTTAGCGAGACCGACTCGTTTCGTCGTTCGAACGGAAAAAAGCGCGGGAGACGCGTTCTAGTTTTTACACGGAACAACGTGCTTGCTTTGAAGCTGAAAGAGATCACGTGTTGGTAGCATCCAACAACGATGATCTTTTCAACAAATTTATTTCGTTGTATAATCATACCGGGCGATTTGTATTTTCATGCAATTTGTTTGTGCACGTGTGTGCTTTGTTTGAAATAATCCACTGGGCCACAGGTGGATTACATTGCGTTGCAATAATAATGTTACCCCGGATTTATTTTTAACGCTTAAACGTTTACGCATATTGGGAGAATCTCTGGTAGTTTTTAATTGGCTTAAATGGTTTGATTTAATTTGATGAAATGAAAATATTAATTTTCTCATCAATGAAACAATTTTTTACGTATTGAAATTTTAACAATACCATTGCAAAACAAAACGTACATTTTACAACAAAATTATTGTTGTAGCATTCAGTAGAAGGGTTGATCGAGTAGGATATAATTTGAACCGTATGAAAGTCCCTGTAACAACGTCAAGTTGTCGTTCTAAGATTTGAAGTTTGTTCGACGATTCACGGTAATTTTCGGTAAAAGAAGGAAACGTCGCGTGATAGGTGTTTCGTGTTTTCATACCAACTCTTTGCTTCCCTGAAATCGTCGTGTTTCCAAGTGGAAGGCACGACAACGATCGTGCAAAAACTGCTCGAGCAGAAGTTCTCGATTCGAAACGAGAACAAGCAGCTGTCCCTCCGTCTCAATTTCCGTTGTTTGCTTAACCAGAACAACCTGCAATGATCCTATGATCAATGCTCCCTATCGATCATTCGATCGAATTCGAACGGACAGAATTTAGATATCATTAAGTTGTTGGTTAGTTCTTTAGAGGGGGATGAAAGAAACGGAAGACGAGGGAGCCCGTTTCGTTTCAATTTCGGAGGTCCAAGCTCTCGCTTGGGAACGGCATGGATCGGTCCATAGGGCGTTGGTTACGGTGCCCTGTAATCATACCGGAAATTATAGGCATTTAGCCGGGCATGAATGAGCGGATAGGAAAGTTTAACAAGATATCGGTTGCATCGCTGCGTCAGAGGCGCGTGCAGCTCGCTCCCTCTTCGACTTCTTCGACTTCTTCGACTTATTCTCCTCCCTTCTGCCCCGACGCCAATTTCTACAGGCACCTGCACCTGCGACGCCCCGATCGAGGCCCAGATTCACCTTCGATACATATATATATACTCCTTTTCGCTGTATCCTTTCCATACGTGTGCAGCATGCCCGTGTACCTGCACACGCGTAAATTCTGGGACACCAAAGTATCGGCGGTTAATTCGTCTCGGACGATGGTAATAACTGCCACAACATAAGTTGCAATCAGCTGTCCATTTGTATGGGTGTGTACATTATACGCACACGTTCGTCTCTGAATTATTATGATAAACGATTATACGTATACAGGGTGTACCATAATATATTGATCCAACCTACATATGTAGATAATGGAAAAGGTACATACGAAGGTTTTTTCCTATCTGGTCCTGTTTCTGAGTTTAATTTTATTGATAAAGTGTGTGATTTCTAAATAAATAGATTTTCTGCTTTCATTTGTAATATAAGGGAAGATTATCCCATAGCTTTGAAGGACCGTGTACAGATAGGTTAATTGCTTCGACTGGATCGTATAGGAACGGTGTTGCTGCCGGCATTATTATTATTATTAAATTGCTTCCTAAGTGCACGCGTAGCATTATAAACAAGCGATCGAGCGTGGTCGCGAGACTGATCGAGGCCAGTCCGAGGTTCGCTCCGGGCGATTTTAATACACTTTGAAAATTAAAACATTAAAAGAGGCTGGTGTAGTCGAACGGCGACGCCGTAGTTGATTTCGCCTTCTAAAATTGCACGGAACGCGAGGTTGCACAAGCGATCGCATTACGGTGTAAATTGCGAACGGGATGGCTGGCCGGAGCTGGGGTCGCAAATAAACGTCCGGTTCGGTCGATCGACGAACCGACCAGGGGCCAAGTAAATAACGGGTCCAATTAAAACGTCGCCACGTATTTCTTTAATTTAACCAGAGACAAATACGTATGCGTCCCGCGCTATCGTCCCAGCTGCACGCTGAAAAATGTTCTCGCGCCGAAATACGCCTGCGTTCCCGATCGAATCCGCACCTGCGTCGAAATAGTTGGGCTGAAAAAGGCCGCATCGCGTCTCCTCTCGAGACGCTAAGCTCACGTATGAGTTTCCCACGGCGGGCCAGGATGGGCCCGTGTGGGAATATCGAGGCTTATTACTCGCGCATAGGTAACACGTTCGATCGTCGATCGCTCGTCGATATTCGTATTCCTTCCTCGTCTGTGCGTTTTTCCCTCGTTTCTCTCTTTTTCTCGTCCCTCGTTTCTTCGCTCATTTTTTTTTTTCTCTCCTGTCATTCTCCTCTCGTGTCTCTCGTGAATTTCTTTATTCCTCTTTCGCACCTGTCTCTCACCTTTGTTGTTGAATATTATTTAAAGTAGGGTTGGGAATTCGTAGCAAGTGTCGGTCGTCGTTGATGAGGCTATTAGATGGTTAAAGTTTCGTTCACACCGATAACCGGAGATGGAAAGGAGAAAAAGCCGAAGAGGCTCGGTGCTCAGGGCACGTACACGCTTCGTGAGAGAACTCGACCGATTCGTACGATAACGACGGCGTACAGACTGCTTCCGAATTGCTGTTTTCGCTCGGACACCGAGCGAGCATCGTCGTGAAAATGAAATGAGAAGCGGAACGAGGCTGGCTGCCGTGCGACTCGCGAAGCACGTCCGTGGAATTCCACGCGATTCCCAAGACAGATTGCGACAACTTCGACTTCTGATCTCCGATGCAAAACGCTTCACGCGGTGAAGAGCGATCGTGTGTAATTCAGCTACACACTTGCTCCAAGTTGAGCGTTCTTAGAATGCAAGACGAATAAGCCAGCTAGTGTTCATTGGGAAAATTCGATAG